AAAAGATCTGCAAAAGCAGATAACTTTATCCTACCCCAGTCTTATCTTCACAGCCGATACACACCTAGAATTTTGCCAGCACAAACCAGTTCTTTACAGTATCACAAGCTAAAAGTAACACAGCCACCTGGACGACATGAATAAGCCATATCTCAGCACCAGAACATTGTACAGACATGTTTGTTGGCTCGTATGCAATCATGTACCACAGTCTAGCAACCGAGTGGGAGTTTTGCCATTGCAAGCACCACTTCACATTTTAGATGCAGATCATAGATGCACTTTTATGATGGACAGATGCACTTTTATGATGGATAGATGCACTTTATGATGGACAGATGCACTTTTATGATGGACAGATGCACTTTTATGATGGACAGATGCACTTTTATGATGGATAGATGCACTTTTTATGATGGATAGACGCACTTTTATGATGGACAGATGCACTTTTATGATGGATAGATGCACTTTTATGATGGACAGATGCACTTTTATGATGGATAGATGCACCTTTATGATGGATTAATGCCTTTTATGATGGACAGATGCACTTTTATGATGGATAGATGCACTTTTATGATGGACAGATGCACTTTTATGATGAATAGATGCACCTTTATGATGGACAGATGCACTTTTATGATGGACAGATGCACTTTTATGATGAACAGATGCACTTTTATGATGGATTAATGCCCTTTTATGATGGACAGATGCACTTTTATGATGGACAGATGCACTTTTATGATGGACAGATGCACTTTTATGATGGACAGATACACTTTTATGATGGATAGATGCACTTTTATGATGGACAGATGCACATTTATGATGGATAGATGCACTTTTATGATGGACAGATGCACCTTTATGATGGATAAATGCACTTTTATGATGGACAGATGCACCTTTATGATGGATAGATGCACTTTTATGATGGACAGATGCACTTTTATGATGGATAGATGCACTTTTATGATGGACAGATGCACCTTTATGATGGATAGATGCACCTTTATGATGGATAGATGCACTTTTATGATGGACAGATGCACCTTTATGATGGATAGATGCACTTTTATGATGGATAGATGCACTTTTATGATGGATAGATGCACCTTTATGATGGACAGATGCACTTTTATGATGGACAGATGCACTTTTATGATGGATAGATGCACTTTTATGATGGATAGATGCACCTTTATGATGGATAGATGCACTTTTATGATGGATAGATGCACCTTTATAATGGATAGATGCACTTTTATGATGGACAGATGCACTTTTATGATGGATAGATGCACTTTTATGATGGACAGATGCACTTTTATGATGGATAGATGCACTTTTATGATGGACAGATGCACCTTTATGATGGATAGATGCACTTTTATGATGGACAGATGCACCTTTATGATGGATAAATGCACTTTTTATGATGGACAGATGCACCTTTATGATGGATAGATGCACTTTTATGATGGACAGATGCACTTTTATGATGGATAGATGCACTTTTATGATGGACAGATGCACCTTTATGATGGATTAATGCACTTTTATGATGGACAGATGCACCTTTATGATGGATAGATGCACTTTTATGATGGACAGATGCACTTTTATGATGGACAGATGCACTTTTATGATGGATAGATGCACTTTTATGATGGACAGATGCACCTTTATGATGGATAAATGCACTTTTATGATGGACAGATGCACCTTTATGATGGATAGATGCACTTTTATGATGGACAGATGCACTTTTATGATGGACAGATGCACTTTTATGATGGATAGATGCACTTTTATGATGGACAGATGCACTTTTATGATGGACAGATGCACTTTTATGATGGATAGATGCACCTTTATAATGGATTAATGCCCTTTTATGATGGACAGATGCACTTTTATGATGGACAGATGTACTTTTATGATGGACAGATGCACTTTTATGATGGATAGATGCACCTTTATGATGGATTAATGCCCTTTTATGATGGACAGATGCACTTTTATGATGGATAGATGCACTTTTATGATGGACAGATGCACTTTTATGATGGACAGATGCACTTTTATGATGAACAGATGCACTTTTATGATGGATAGATGCACCTTTATGATGGATTAATGCCCTTTTATGATGGACAGATGCCCTTTTATGATGGACAGATGTACTTTATGATGGACAGATGCACTTTTATGATGGACAGATGCACTTTTATGATGATAGATGCACTTTTATGATGGACAGATGCACTTTTATGATGGATAGATGCACTTATGATGGACAGATGCACTTTTATGATGGATAGATGCACCTTTATGATGGACAGATGCACTTTTATGATAGATAGATGCACTTTTATGATGATAGATGCACTTTTATGATGGACAGATGCACTTTTATGATGGATAGATTTTTTTGAGCTTCAATCTGTTGGCTGCAATTCATTGCCATTCACTGCTCGAAGGGCCAGGGTGTTTATTAATATAACTCTGATCGTATTCGTTTGAAAGAAGAAAGTCACATTCATCTAGGATGGCTTGAGGGTGAGTAAATCATGGGCTAATTTTAATTTTGAAATAAACTTCTTTAATAGACCTTTCAGCCGCTTGCAGATTAAACCACACAAAGCCCATTAACATGCCAATCCCTCTCAATAACCTCTTGTAGCCTAGAATTATTATAATTTTTTATCAACAGTCATCCATTTATTTTATGGATTAATATTATTATAAGGTATTGGATTAATATTATTATAAGGTATTTCCGAATCATGTTATGATTTTTTAGATAGATATATTACAGTTCTAAAAATTACAGTTTTATTATTGTTTTTTTATTTTGTAATGCTACTGGTGAATAATAATAATAATAATACAAATTGAAAGATGGAAAGTTTTTAAATTTTCTTTAAGGGAAAGTAATTTTACTTGTGAAATGGTTTAGTGACGTAAGTTAGTTTACCCGGGAAACATTTAGGCGCCATCCGCGATGAGGAGATCCCAAACAGCAAACTGACATTGAATCAACATGGAAACGACGTCTCTCATGACATTGAAACAATGTTGATTTTGCTCATCGAATTAACGTTGAACCAACGTCAGACGCGGCATTCTTCAAAGCTAAATGAAAATCGAAAATTGGTTTGCTTTCATAACGTTGAAACAACGCGTTGATTTCAAGTTGATTTTCCGTTAGTTTTGAAAGAATGACGCGTCTGACGTTGGTTCAACGTTAATTCGATGAGCAAAACAATGTCAGATCAACGTTGTTTCGATGTCATGTTTCCACGTTGATTCAATGTCAGTTTGCTATCTGGGATGCGTTCGTCATTCGCACGAGGAGATCGTCAGAGTCAGAAGTCAACAAGCTTGCTTTATAAACTCATTTTCAATTTTTAAAACGTTGACCAATTAAACAAAATACTGATAGCTATGTACAGACCAGCAAATTACTAACTTTCATCTGTTGCTTGCTTGTAGGATATTTCTTTTTTTTTTTTTTACATTTTACTTAATCTAAAGAATTAACGTCAAATTGCTGTTGTCTTTTAATAGTGTGTAGGCCTACTTTTATTATTATACTTTAATATATGGTCTATATTACATATATATGTGGCATAACATTTTATCAAATGACAATAATATTGTGTATCGCGCATTAGCCCATTTCTGAGACAATATCTCACAACAAAAGCAGTTATCGTGACAGGTAGTGAGCATTGGCTTAAAGTTAGCATTACTGTTTAGCTAACCGAAGTATTTAGGCCTAACTTAGATGCTACTCGTCGTCTTCGTGCTTTTTCTGTGCACCATTTTGCGCTCTGACTGTAGCAGACCCCTCTCGAATGATGGACACTTCTTTACTGATGTCAATGAAGTTTTTTATTGAGTCTGTTTCACTTCTTTATGCTTTCAATAAATCACATCACCAATCACCGTAAGAGCTGAATAAAGTGTACAAAAACACGCATTAACAACACGTATTAAACTCTCTCAACGTCATATTATCAACAACATAAGTAAAATACAGACCTTGTGCCTTTTCCGAGGGGGTGCATATACCATTAAACTTCGTTAAACTTGATAAACAGTACAACTCTGCGCGAAGCGCGTGCTTTCTCTTAGCTCTTTCCACTATAACTCGCGCTCTCCCCTTACTTCCTTTTCCCCCGAAGCCCGCAGAACATGTCAAAATAAAAGTCCCACTTAATACATTTTGTAAATCTAATTTAAACTAAACAGGACTATAAAAATATATACAAAAATGTACTAGAAAATTATCAAAGTCTGTTACACTCCCACCAAATTATAAATGTTATATCAACATGCATAATTTTCAAGAATAAGTAATCACATTTCACTTATAAAGACCTTTGTGAGTGCATGTAAAGTCTCTTTGAAGATGTTTTTAATCTGCTTCCAATAATAAAACCAACTTCTGAGCTGGCCTCTCAACTACTGAGACCTTGTTCAATCGTTCTCCTTTCTTGTTCAGTGTTTTGTCACCAAGTGTCAATGTAACTTTCCTTACTAACCCATCTTGGCTAGTTACAGTGTCTATGATCCGACCTAATCTCCATACATTCCTTGGAAGGTTTTCATCCATATCCATGACAACATCACCAATCTGAAAGTTCCTTTTCGGAGCATGCCAGCGTTGTCTTATAGCAATGTTGTGGAGATACTCTTTTTTCCATCTACTCCAGAATTGCTCAGTAAGGTACTGTACCCGTCTCCATCTCTTTCTCCCATAGATATCTTCTCTTATAAACTTTCCTGGTGGTGGTAAGACTGTGGTGGCTTTCATAGTAATCAAATGGTTAGGTGTGAGCGGTTCCAAGCTTTTGGGTCGTTCAAGTTATCCACAGTAAGAGGACGACTGTTAACTATTGCCATGGCTTCGTAAAACAATGTGCGCAGTGAAGCATCACTGAGCCTGCCTGATGCGAGGGAAGCTGTAGCATTAAGAACACTCCTTACAGTTTTGATTTGACGCTCCCATACACCACCAGCATGACTGGAATGAGGGGGATTCAAAACAAAATCACACTGTTTATCTGCAAGAAAAGCAGTAAGCCTTTCTGGATCAAGTTGCTTTAATGCGGAGTTCAGTTCGTTCTTAGCACCAACGAAATTGGTACCTTGGTCGCATCTAATCTGCCGTACTGTGCCTCTGACAGCAATGAAGCATCGTAAACTGTTGATGAAAGCATCCGTGGACATATCCTCCAACATTTCGATATGAACGGCTCTTGAACAAAAGCAAGTTAGAATCAGACCGTACCTTTTGTGCTGTTTTCTTCCTTCTTTAGTCATGAACGGACCGAAGCAATCCATACCACAATACACAAACGGTGGGGAAGACTCTACACGTTCTACAGGAAGATCACTCATCCGTTGTCCTTCAGCAGATTTTCTCAACTTTCTACAAGTTACACAATTGTGAATGTAAGATGTGACAACTCTGTTCATTCCAGGTATCCAATAGCCTGAAGATCTGATAGCATTAATCGTGAAACCTTTCCCTTGATGCTTAACACTTTCATGATAGTGTGCAATTATCAGCTTAGTTACATGATGTTCTTTGGGAAGAATCAGTGGGTGCTTGAACACATGAGTGCATGACGAGTGACTTAATCTTCCTCCCACCTTAATCATACCGTCCGTATCTATGAAGGTGTCTAGATGATGAAGTCTGTTATGACATGGAAGCTGTTTACCTTGACTCAGGACATCCATTTCTTTCTGATAAACTTGTTTCTGCACTCCTTTTAGAATCAAGCATCTAGCTTGTTCTTGTTCACTCACCGATGCTGGTGAATTAGACTTATCCTTCTTAACCCTTCTCAGAAGACGTGCAATGGCCTTGACAGCATTAGACCAGGATGAAAACTTAGACAAATGGTCCACGAGATCTTTACTTTCTGTGGTTTCTGTATGAAAGGTCTGCGTCTTTCTGACTTCTGGATCACCTACTGGAAGTTCCGGTACAACACCTGAACTCACTATTTCTTTCTTCCACAGGAAAGACGGACCTGAAAACCAGTTAGATGAGAGCAATTCATGTATTGTTCTACCTCTTGAAGCATTGTCTGCAGGGTTATCATCTGTTGAGACGTACAGCCACTGTTTGGGCGCTGTGCTTTGACGTATCTTTTGAACTCTGTTGGCTACGAACGTATGAAAACGACGAGCATCATTATTTATGTACCCTAAGACAACTTTTGAGTCAGTCCAAAAGAATTCATCGACATTGGTGAGGTCAAGCTCCTCTCTGAGCATATTGCTCATTTTGACTGATACCACAGCAGCCGTCAACTCTAATCTTGGTATTGTAGTGATCTTTATAGGAGTAACCCGGGCTTTACCAACGAGAAAAGTACAATGAATCTCATCCTTCTCGCTGATCATTCTCAGATACGAACACTGACCGTAACCACAGGTACTTGCATCAGAGAAATGATGTATCTCTCTTTTCACAATCTTGCCGAAATTAGCAGGTACATAACATCGTGGTATGTCAACCTTTTCCAGATTGACAAAGTCATTCTGCCATTTCTCCCACCATGGGCTGAGAGCAAGAGACAGTGGATCATCCCAGCTTGTGCCCTTGCGACACATTTCTTGTAAGATCCTCTTACCATTGAGAACATAAGGAGCTACAAAGCCCAAAGGATCATATATTGAGGCAACAGTTGACAATATGCCACGACGTGTTGTAGGTTGACCTTTTAATGGGATGTGGAATCTGAAGCTATCACTCTCTATGTTCCAGTGAATACCCAAAGTTCTCTCAAGTGGCATGTGACCGAAAGTAAGATCCTTTGTCTCAAAGTTTACAGCGCGTTCTGATGCTGGTATGCTCTGTAGCACAGTGCTGTCATTGGACACAAATTTGTGAAGTCGTAGACCTCCTTTTGCACACAACTCTCGTGTCTCCTTTGTTAGCTGAATAGCCTGTTCCACTGTTTCGACGCTTGTGACTCCATCATCAACGTAAAAGTCTCTTATGATGAACTGAGCGGCTAATGAGTGAGACTGACAATGCTCACTGGCTAAATGTCTTAGTCCATAATTTGCGCACCCAGGCGAAGAAACAGCACCGAAGAGATGAACTTTCATACGGTAATCTTGAAGCGGTGAGTTTGTATCTCCGTTCTGCCACCACAAGAAGCGTAAGTAATCTCTATCATTTTCCTGAACATGGAATTGGTGGAACATTTTTTCTATATCACACGTCACAGCTATGGGGTGCTTTCTGAATCTGACGAGGACTCCTGTGAGATTGTTTATCATGTCTGGCCCAGGTAACAGATGATCGTTGAGACTTGTGCCTTTAAATTTAGCGGAACAATCAAACACGACACGTAGCTTGTCTGGCTTTTTTGGATGGTAAATGCCATGATGAGGTATGTACCACTTTTCACCATCAGTTCCATCATCATTCACTGTTTCTACATCACCTCTTTCAATGATATCATTCATGTACGCAATGTAGTCTGCCTTGTATTTCTCATTTTTACAGAACTTCTTGTTCAAGTGATTGAATCTGACCTTGGCAAGCTCTCTGTTATCAGGTAAGTATGGACGTTGTTTGAACGGGAGAGGCATTTCATAATGTCCCTGTGCATTTCTCTTTATGCCTTCTTTGAGTTTGTCCAAAAACACGATATCATCCTGTGAAATTGTCTTGTCGCCGACAGTGACATCTTTAAAGTCAGACTCGAGCACATGTATGGCATCCACAGGTGTCAGAGCTGGAATCTCCTTTGTGGCTATTCTGTGACAAAGACCAATTGCTGTGGATTCATGAATGCTTGATGTGGAGCTGCCTACGATACTCCAACCTAGATCAGTTAGAATGGCATAGGGTTCTTCTTCTTTACCTAGAATGACTTCTCTAGGAGCTAACACTCTGGGGCAATTGTAACCAATCAGTAACCCTACTTCACAGCCGAGAAGAGGTGACATATCCTTTGAGATTACCTTCAAGTGACTCCAGTTCTTTGCCGTTTCCCTAGTTGGTATGTGGTCACGATTGACAGGAATACACTCTTTGGTGTATACTGGAGGCAGATTGATATGTACTGATGAATTATACCCTCTCACTTGAAGATCAGTGATCCTTTTACTGTTAATGATCATACTGTCTCCCATCAGAGTAGTAAGTTTGAGTTTGATAGGATGAGCATCCACTTGCAGTACTTTACTCACTCCTTCATCAATGAAAGTGGTGTCACTTTGAGTGTCAAGCAAAGCATAGACAAGCTGTTCATTAGATGGATTTTTGACGGACGACACCCATACAGGTACAATCATAGATGTAATGACTGAATGACCTTCTCTTGTGACGTTAAGAGACGTGGCATCAGTAATCTCACTCTCATTGTTCACTGTTGGTTGCTTTCGGTATCCATTATACTCGTAGTTGTAATCATGAAGGCTTGTGGGATGTCTCAATTTGCATACATCACATGTGTGACGACGACGGCATTCCTTAGCAAAGTGACCTGGTTTCATACATCCAAAACAGAGCTTGTTATCTTTGACATACGACCTTCTGTCTTTCAGCGACTTCTCCATTAATTTAGGACACTTACTGAGCTGATGGTTGTCATCTTGACACAACATGCATGACGGTTTTGACTGTGTTTTAGCCACTGTCTGTTTATCACTATTTACTATTGTCTGCGTCTTATAAACAGTAGCCTTGTTTCTTTTGACCTCATTCGAGACTCTTCTCTCCGGAGGTGACTCACGTGAATGAAGAGCGTTCAAAGACGTAATAGGATTACACATTATCTCTGCTTCAATTGAAAGGAACTTTACGAAGTCTTGAAAGCTTGGAAATTCCTTACCGTCCATAAGCGCTGTAGTGACCTGGCGGTTCCACCTGGCGGCTGCCCAGTCAGGAAGTTTCTGTACCAGCTTTTGGTTCTCTTCACAATCGTTCAGTATTTCTAAGCCTTTGACATGCGGTATGGCTTGCAGACATGCATATAAGAAGTCTGAAAATGTTCTCAGACCTTCTGCATCTTTAGACTGTATTTTATGCCACTTAGACAGCTTTTCACGGTATGCTCTTTGAATGATGAAGGGCTGGCCATATCGTTGGTTGAGTTTATTCCAAGCATCTTTGTAAGCTTCTTCATCGCTTCTATAAAAGGTGCCTTCTAGAAATCTGTGCGCTGAACCGCTGACATACTTTTTCAAATAGTAGAGTTTATCAGCTGCAGAGATGCCCTTTCGATCTATAAGTGACATAAATGAGGCTTTCCAGTCTACAAACTGAATCGGGTCTCCATTGAACACTGATGGCTCTGGTATTGGCAATCTGTTGATCGCTATGCTATCCTGAACAGCCTGAGCAAGCTGAGACACTTCACTGAGAGTCGTTGACTGAATAACACTGCATTGTCGTTCTGTTGCAGAGAAGATTTTCCTTTTCTGACTTTCGTGTTCAGACTGCATTGACTGACTCTTAGTCTCTTGCTTTATTTCTTCATCATACGATTTTACTCTGGCTCGAGCGATCTCTATGTCCTTTTCTACCTGTAGCCGTTCTAATTCAAACCTTTGAGTCTCTAGCTCTTGTCTGAGCTGCTCTTCTAGAGTTCTCATTTTTTCCTTTTGCTGTCTTTCCGCTTGCATCATCTTGTATTCAGCCTCTTTCGCAGCCAGCTCTGCCACAGCATCTGCACGCTTGCTTGTACAAGAAGATCTAGAACTGCTGCTGACACTCGTTTGCGAAGTACTGGACCCGTATATGGAATGGGCATAACTATGGGCTAAAAGTTCATGCAGACGTCTCCTTTCTTGTTCTGCATCAAAATCGCCATCTACTATTGCCAACCTTTCCAGTACAATTTTGACTAAATCATTGGTCACAGCTTCACATGCGTCAATTTTACGTCTTAAATCAGTAGCGGGTGTACTATGTTCCCTTATCTCACTGAAGATTTTCATAATACAGTTCTTTTTATCCTCTAGTGAGTCAGCGATTTCAGCAAGCTGCTTATCAGAGATGTCTGACTTTAAATCATGTCTTGCTTTACGCGCAGCAACTTTCCATTGTTCGTACAAAGTGTCAATTCTTTTTTCTTTCTTACAGCACTCATCTTTCTGGTAAGCAAGCATTTTCTCTGAAGGCATATGTGGACGTTCTGAGCGTCGAGGCAATCCTGTACTGTCTTGTGAATGACACGGGATTTCAGTGGCATTTTTCTCTTTATATTTAACTGATCCTTCTCCGTGCTTTTCCTTTACACTTTCTGGCTTTGTTTGAAGCGACCTTTCAGAATCTGGGTCTTCAGTTTCAATTTCCATAATCAACTCACTTGTATGGCGTTTCAGCTCTCCATCACGCTGATTCCATCGTGCTGCACTTCATTAACGATCGTCACGTTGCCCCATCCACAAAAGCACGTGCGGCCGAGATCCAAACCAGCGAAGGTGAAGCTCTTACTGTAGCAGACCCCTCTCGAATGATGGACACTTCTTTACTGATGTCAATGAAGTTTTTTATTGAGTCTGTTTCACTTCTTTATGCTTTCAATAAATCACATCACCAATCACCGTAAGAGCTGAATAAAGTGTACAAAAACACGCATTAACAACACGTATTAAACTCTCTCAACGTCATATTATCAACAACATAAGTAAAATACAGACCTTGTGCCTTTTCCGAGGGGGTGCATATACCATTAAACTTCGTTAAACTTGATAAACAGTACAACTCTGCGCGAAGCGCGTGCTTTCTCTTAGCTCTTTCCACTATAACTCGCGCTCTCCCCTTACTTCCTTTTCCCCCGAAGCCCGCAGAACATGTCAAAATAAAAGTCCCACTTAATACATTTTGTAAATCTAATTTAAACTAAACAGGACTATAAAAATATATACAAAAATGTACTAGAAAATTATCAAAGTCTGTTACACTGACTTTTTTATTTGCTCTAGAACAGTGGATTGCTGCTTTGAAATCGAGTACATTTGGATTTTTATTCTTCCAAACTGTAATTTTCTGGAAACCCGTAATGTCTCGAATGACGCACTTAATTTGCACAGTCTGCTGATGACCGCTCTGTGTGAGGTAAGTTAATTTTTCCCGAGGCTTTCGCCTCCGACACGGAAACACACGACACGAGAGCATGCTCTGCAAAATGTTTTTGACATTCATAATCATGTAAACATAATTGACGATATATTTTGTCACCAAACATTATTAAGTCAAAATTGATTATTGCGACAGGCCTAATGCTCGCTAGTTGCAGTTAATTTCTTAAGACTATTTTCAAAAATGGCGACAGAACAACCGCATGCCTATTTAAAAATGGCTAACTCTACTAAATTGTTATTAATACGTATTTATTCGTCCATTTTTTTATTTTTTATAGAGAAATTGATGTTGTATGTGTTACTAGTAAGCGTTATCTATGGCAGCAGCAGGTGGACATTGATTGGACACAAACAATATGCTATGTCACTGTCATACAATCAATATTAGTCATTTAGCTTATGATTGTTTGCATTCTAACTTTTCTTTACAGAATTAAAATTTTAACTGGATGTCATGTCAAAACGGAAGCGAATTAGTCCTGTGGAGGATGCCATTAAACACATTCTGTCTGGCAAAGACAAACCATGCTTTGAGGAGAGATTCATCAATTTTCATAAAGGGTAGTAACAGTATTTTAATGCTTATTTCATCCTATTCAGGAAGATAATGTAGCAGATAGGGAATCGTTCCAGAACCACATCCCCTCTTGATGTAAAACAGTTATAAAGTCATAAGATAATAGCACAAAATGCATGTGTTAAAGCTAGGGCTGTAATCAACCAAAGAAAATCTTGGTCGACTGAAGTCCTGAAATTTTTGACAAAAGAAATCAACAAAATATTACGTTGGGAAAAAAAACCCCTTAACTCAATTAGCTGTGTACTCACTGTACTTGGTAGCCTTGTCAACCTAAATACATTATAAATAAACATAAAAAGCTAGTAGGTTATTTGCAGTATATTAAATAGTTTTTGACCTACTGGTAATTATTTTGCACTGAAATGAGTCTGACACACGAGTCTGTTGGCTTTGACAGCGTTGCATCACATGCACCTGCGCAATATCATGGCCTATGATGAAAATAGTACTATTTTGTCAACTAGTGACATCATCACAAAAACTTTTGAGGAATATGCTAAATAATATAAACAATTGCACGTGATGGCTTGAATTGCATGCAGAGATGTCATGAAAGACAGGGTAGCCCCGGAGTCTTAAAAGTAGGGTTGTAATGGTATACCGGTATGGCGGTTTATTGCGATATTAACATGTACAATTATCATATCGTGCACATTTGCTTATCCGCGGTTTAAAAAAAATATATATTTAAACCAGAATTCACCTGCACTGCCGCATGCAACTTCTTTCAGCTTGACTGCTTAGACTCCATACCTGTACAGCGCTGAAAATGTCCGAGACAGAGGCTGCGAATTTCTATCTCCCGCCGAAAAAATAAATAAAATCTGCAGTATGGGAATATTTTGTATATCGACAAAGTACCGTGCGGAGCAGTCTATGGCGAGGAGGCGTCGAATGATCATCTATACAGGCTTTATGACGAGGTCGGTGAGGATGGGAAAAATCTCATATTTCTGTGCAAACTGAGTGCTTGGTCGGTTAATTTTGGCATTTGGCACAAGTTAGCCTAATAGGCTAGTAATAAATGAACACGAATACAAAAATATCTTTCGTCCTGTAGGCGTCCTGGAGAATATTTCTGTTCGTCCTAAACACATTTTTTATCGTCCCCAGGACTTTAGGACGCCGTTAGTCTCGAGCCCTGTCGTTTCATTAGATAAGCGTCTAGTCATTAGTGTTTTCCACCTGATGAAATGAATGTGGCCAAAAATCAACCAATAAGAATTTTGGTTGAGCCAGAACGTATCGACCAATAATCGACTGGGAGATTAAAGCGGTATTACATTGAATAGTCTGATTTCAGTGGGTATGTTACTGGTATTCTTAAGATGATTGGTTATTGTTGGAACAGTTGCTGTTATGGGCTGTGTAACCGAATGAGCAGCTCTCACATGTGTAAACTGACTAGATGTTGGAAGAAGTTTGCATGTCCTGTAATTGATGTGTGCATGTCATTTAAAGGCCAGGTCAATGGAATAAACCACTCATTTTCTACATAGATACTAATATTCAACACCATGCCATCTCTATTTTAGGTAAAGGTGTCCCAGCTAGGATTTTTTTGTTCTAAAAATGTTCTGAGAACATTACCATGCAGTGTTCTAATAATGTTTTCAGCGGGTAGTTTTCTTTTGGTTCCTAAAATGTTCTCTTAAAAGTTCTAATAACATTCTCTAAAAACATTCTAAATATGTTAAATGCTAACATTGTTAGAACATTATTTCCTGACGTTCTTATAACATTTTCAGCGGGTAGTTTTCTTTTTGTTCCTAAAATGTTCTCTTAAAAGTTCTAATAACATTGTCTAAAAACATTTTAAATATGTTTATTGCTAACATTGTTAGAACATTATTCCCTAATGTTTTTATAACACTTTCAGCAGGTAGTTTTCTTTTTGTTCCCAGAATGTTCTCTTAAAAGTTCTAATAACATTGTCTAAAAACATTCTAAATATGTTAAATGCTAACATTGTTAGAAAATTATTCCCTGACGTTCTTATATCATTTTCAGCGGGTAGTTTTCTTTTTGTTCCCAGAATGTTCTCTTAAAAGATGGCATAACATTCGCTAAGAACACTCTGAAAATGTTTTGTGATGACCTTCTATAAAGGTTTAATCATAACATTTTAAAAACATTATCCCCTAACTTTCTTATAAAGTTTTTAGCGGAAGTTTATTTTTGTTCCCAAAATGTTCTCTTAAAACCCCTCAAAAATGATTAGCTATAACATTGTTAAAGCATAACATTTTATTAATCTCAAAACTAAAACATCAAAATCTAACAGGTTTAAATGGCATCCACATAAATTATTAGAAGTTCTGCGTACAGTAAATGCCCAACATTACATGAAGAACTCAGTAAAGTCACTCATGCGTCTTGACTCCGGTGTTTGCTCAGAGCACTCATCATCAGTCTTTGCTTGTTTTGGTTCTTGCAGAAGAATAATCCAGGAATCTGTATTAATAGTGTTCTACTGTTCTCTCTTCTAGTTGTCCAGCTGCTCCCCCAGTTAGCAGCATTGAGCTCTGTTCTCTGTGTGCACGGTAGAGTTTTTCCTCATAGCCTAAAAAAGAAGATCATGCAAAAGTGTAAACATAAAGAATACACATACATTAAGATCACAAGCAATATTGCGTTGAAAACTTTCAAAATTAGCCAGCCTAATTAGCAGTCAGAAATTATGTAAAGACTAATTTATTGAAAGTATAAATATGATAAATTATGAGTATCTTTTTTGTTTCTGTAATTTAAAACATACTTAATCCATGTATCCAATATCTTAATACAATAAAGTTTTAAAAATGGATATTTTTCTTACACAAATGCTTCGCTTTAAAAGGGCTTTATAACCCCGCCAGAGTCATGTGGTGGATTACTTTTATCATGGATGGATGCGCCTTGATAGACGGCCATTCACTGCCATTCTAAAAGTCAGAAGAGTCAGGACATTTTTTTAAATATAACTCAGATAGTATTCATCTGAAAGAAGAATGTTATATACACCTGAAGCCTTGAGAAACGCTCTTTCCAATTCATTAACGTTAACCTCTAACGTTATATGAATTACTGAATTATTATTAACTTTTACTTTCAAAAGACATTAAGATCACTTTTAAGTAAAAATACAGTATTCGTATGCATAGAACACAATACCGGCATTATAGTAGGCTACCTTGGTTGTAAATGGAGACTTTATTGTGTCATCGGTAAGTTAATCATCTTGAAACAGTCCGTTTGGAGTCTGCATTAAAACAAATCTAGCTGTTATTCAAAAGTAGCATACACTCAGATTTATTGCGACTGTCATACAATTCTAAGAAAGTAGAAAGTTAGGTCTAATACTAAAAAACATCAAGGATAAAAGAAAGCTATGTAAACTGAAAAAATACACACAAAAACTTACAGTTGTGAAAGAGTTCCGTTGACCAGGAGTTCTGTTGTTTTGGGCCAATGTGTCGCCAATTTAGACAACGGACATTCTGCGCCGATTTCTTCAACAGAAACGTTGCTTTATTTGCGCTGTTTGTCGAGTTCAAATGTTCTTACGTCATGGGAACATCGCGCTGTGATTGGTGGTTTTAAACGTCGATCTACAGCGACCTCCAATCAGCTTCTCATCTCTTGTAAACGCATTTGTCGCAACAGTTCATTTCAGAGTAGCCTAATATATCCTCAAAACACTTTATGTATGCTGTTTTGACAATGTTCCTCTTTCATTATGGAAAATTATGCCATTATTCTATAGGTTAAAATAATTCTAAAATCTGTTACCTAAACAGCTTCCTTAAAATATCCTTACAATTTTATGAGCTTTTGTTAACATATATTATGAGATTTTGTCATCTCAGGTAAATGTCCACAAAACATTTGATGAATGTTGCTTTGATAATGTTGTTATTGTGCCAATGATTTATAAAAGATAACAACATTTCGACAAAAAATCCTCAAAATGTATCATGCAAAATGTTTGTTAAAAAGTCAATTTAAAGGAATGTTTTATTAAAAACATTTTATCATCTCAGGACTAAATAATATCCTCAAAACATTTTGCGAACGTTAATTTGATTATGTTCTTCCTCTGTTATTATGGTAGGCCTACATTCAATATTTTATGAAAGATCATTCTATAAACTTTTACCTCATCAACATCCTCAAAATGTTACATTTAAAACATTCTAGTTTTGTTAACACGTCACATTACAAGAACGTTTTATAAAAACATTCCATC